AACTGAAAACCTTGGTGTAACTTAGTTGTTTACAAATGTAGCCCTGGGTAATCCTGGTGTGAACACACAATTGGTGCACATTAGGGATATGCATGTGCAACAGAAGAACTTTGGTACACTTCACAGTACACAGCAGGGTCACTGTGTAGGATTACAAACATATTACAAAGTGTGCACCAATTTCCCCACTTGGGTGATACAACTTTGAGTATATTAGTATGTAGTATTAACCTATGATATACTCTGCTCCTTTCAGAGGGTCTTTCAGCATCAAAGTAAAATAGAAGGATCTTGGTCCATTTATCAATTTGGGGGAATATTTCTTGGTTCAATGGAATGATGGCAACATTAGAATGCAGGCAAAGCCCATGAAAGACAGGTTTCTCTCTGCAACAGTGTTTCTGATGCTATTTAATATTCAAGCAGTGTATCCTTAAGAGCAGATAATAAAAGAAGCAACTTTGGCATTTATAAGTGAAACCTCTTGAAGTCAAATTTGTTTGCTGGTCCCTTGAAATGCAGGGAGGTTTCAGGTTAAAGAGGTATGGGTTATGGAACCAAGCATTTCTGTTGTAGGAAACACAGAACTGAATTAAATAGTAAATGGTGAAATTCTGGGCCATAGAGTGCTTATGAAATGAGTTTTCAGGATGTTGCACTTGGAGGCAGGGGTTCATTTACCCCATTTAATCTGTCACATAATTTCAAAACCCCATAAAAATTCATTTTTATTGTTTTCATTCTTTCCTGTGTCAAGAAAATAATTGCAAAAAGGCCTCAGAAAATTTTATGTTAGGCATTGCTGCTATGACATTTCAGACTGGAATTTGAAAAAAAATTTACTTAGGAGTTACAACTGTAAAGAGAAACAAGGTTGCACATGCACCACTGTCCTGCAATTATGATCAAGTGAGGGCCAAAAACAGGACCCTGAAGGGGTTTAGGAAAGTTTAAACATTTTCATTAGGAAATTAGCACACTGACAAACATATTATTGTTCATAAAAAAAACTGAGTGATCTTTTGAAAAGAAAATTACCATCACCCATGCAACTCCATCAGTTGCTCAAATATATCATTCATTATACTAAAAAATTTGTAATAATGGATTTCTTTGCCACAAGATTCCACTGCAAACAACAATTTCACAAAAAAAAATAAAATACCTAGATACTGAAGCAATCGTCTCAGCTTCCCGTGATTTCGTCGCATGAGGAACACAAAGTCTTCAGCAACAAGGTTTCCAGGTGAGCCTCTGCAAATCGCACATTCTGTCGCTTTGCGCAAAATTATCTTCAGCTGCTCCATGAGGATTTCCTCCACCAATTTGACAGACTCTGGTAATGGAACACTGCTGTCTCCGAGTCCGTGCATCACTCGCGCTAAAACTGACAAAAGAAACATATTTTTTTGCACAAAAATATAAATCTCAACATGAAAAAAGATTTCTGCTCACTCGTATGCATCGCAGAGTCACAATGTTGATCACATGACGATGATCAATCTGGAAAAAAAGACGAGAAACAATCGATAACAAACGAAAAAAAAAATTTTCGACAAAAGAAAAACAGCAGATTTCGCATTGAGCTGCATTCATTCACACGAAAAAATCCTTCCGATAACGAACAAGACATTTTTGCACTAATACCAGGAATGCCACGGTTTCCTCTCTCTCTTTGGTATCCCGAGAGCATCTAAACGATATCATGTAAATTTTGCGCACAAAAAAAAAAAAA